ACAACTGTGCTCCCCATCAACTTCTTGGTCGAAATCAGGACTCCCTGGTCACACCTTCACAGGCCCTGCACTCCTTCTTCATGGCTCATAGTACAGAGCCACCCACATGGGTAGGGGCTCTGAAGGTTCTGCTAGGCCTCAACATCTAGACAGAGTCTCCTTGCACACACCAAGTGCCAGCGAACCTCCACTGGAGAAGCGGAAAATACTACCCAGGCCAAATAACCCCTCAAAAGACGCTTACGCACTTATTAATGAAGAGAAGTAGTTGTTGGTTATTGATTATGAGTAGGTTCTCCCAAAACTCTTCAGAAACAAAAAGCAAAGACTCATCATGCCCTCTGTGCTTACTTGAAAATGCTCGGTGCAGGCAGCACAGGCCTCGTCTGAAGTTCTACCCATCGCGCTACATTTCCTAAGAGTTTTCCGCTCTTTCAGCATTTAAGCAATAACAAAAAAAAAAGGTACACCACCACTGTCTGGCGGGCTTTGTTCCTTGGGATTCAGGGTTGCTTTCTCATCTCACACCTCGATGCTCATTACACAACAAAATACACAAGACCAAGTAGCACTACAAATCCACCCCAAGGTAAAATTCTCTGTCTACTTCAAAAGGAAGCCCCCAAGATAAAACTGCAGGAACTTTTGAAACTCTTTGCTGTTTTCTAAGATACATACTATACCAAAATATTGCCACTTTTGGTACCGAATCTTTTTTTGCTGGGTACAAAGGAAGTTAAATGAAAGTCTTTGTCTAGCAAAGGCGCCGGGGGTGGCTGCTAACCTCCCAGCTTACTGGGCCCGGTGCAGAGGCAGGGCAGTCGAGATGAACTCAAACACCACCACGCAGCACCGCTTGGCTGCTTGGCAGTTGTTTGTAAGAAGATAAAAGAAGCCAAGAATTTAAACATATAAATTTAAAAACACTAGAAAGAAAAATGAGCTAGTTACTTGAATTAGAAAATGGGATTGGGGGAAGACTGGGGAGAAGGGAGGAGATTGGGCCACACAGTCTGTGTCTCTGAGACTTTAAGAAGCCAATGAATTTGGGGGGGGG